TTTCTCTTTTCTCCAAGCCCTAAGCGTAAATTCTAATTTTCTAAACTGAATAAAGTCTGGTTTTACCCTAATTAATATCCTAAAAATGAATTAGAGTAATTAGGTAAGGAAAAGACTGAATCGCCCTTCTAAAATCCGGATTAGACAATTCCGTATTCCAACAGCCCAACTTCCAAAGGACATAACTAACTCATATGATGTCAAAATCACGCAAACTTAGCGGCGTTGGAAAGATCTATCCAAGGGCTTTCCAACCATATCCATAGCTGCTCCTAACTCATCCTGAGCTAGGAGTTATGACTGTTTGAAAAAGGCCAAAACTCACTTTCTTATCTTAGACAAAATTTCCAGATTTCCTTATTCTTTCCAAAAATCAATATTTTCATATTTTAAATTCTTTATAATCGTTTCTAGGTGCGAGATGTTACATGCTTGCCCATTATGCACATTTCTACTAATTAAGCATGCTTGAATAGAATCAAATAGGACTTTAATGGGTTGTAATGTAGGCTAGGGGACGAGTAGGAAAACTATATAATAGTGACTTACACTTCCTTAAACACTTTGCATTTTAAGACTTTATCACCCATTATTTTCTTCTCTTTATTTTCAGCCATCTCTTCAACAATTATTTTACAAGTAATTCTCATCATCTCAAGAATGTTTCAATCATTTTTTTCCCTTCATAATAGCCACCCTCAACTTACGTATTTTACATGCGTTAAGGTGCACGATGTCCTTGGAAGGACCAGGGCCATCATCAAGGTAACTTCTTTGTCTATTTTTTCACATCACATTCTTTCAAAGAGGGCTTTTAAGCACTTGTAGCTATCATTGATTACCTTTTCACTCAACCATCCCTTTTTCTTCAGAATTAGCAATTAGAATAAGTTTATGTTATAATGCTAAGGAAGCAAGGTGCAAAAACTAGGGATTCAACAAAATAGTTTAGGGTAAAATATGGCTATCAACAAAAGGTCATAGGCTCAAAAGGGCTAACTAGTGATATAATATCTGTAAAGGCTAAAATTTACCAGACAAATTAAAGAAAGCCTATTATTATCTCCTAAACAAAACAATACTTTTTATTTTGCTTCAATAACATGCAGGGCAAGTTCTAGATTAAGATGCAAAATATGGAATAAACAAATTCTCACCACACATGGCACAAGTATCAATCAAAGATGGATCAATTCCACTTCTAAGAGAGAAAGGATCATAACAAACTACAAAATAAAATAAGCTATTACAAAGTCACAATCATGAACCTAGATGTCAAAGAGTTTGCAATTTCACTAGCAATCAATCATTCACGAGGAAGTACTACTCAAAATTAGGCCCAAATAGTAAGTATCACATAACTCAAAAGGGTCTTTTCTTTTCTCTTCAAAAAAATAAAAATAAAAATAAAAATTATTCCTAAAAAATAAAAATAAAAATAAAAAAAACTTGGTTTAAAGGGACTATCCTCAAAAAAAGAATCGAAAACAAAAGCCAAGGAACCCATCCTAAAAAAGAAAAGACTCAATGAAATGGTAAAAACTAGGAATTCATTCCCCCACCCCACACTTAGAACATGGCACTGTCCCCAGTGCAACAACATAGGCTAATGAGTGAGAGAAAGAATTTATTTTTGGGTTGAGCTAAGTGTGTTCCTACTTACGAAAAAAAACTTTTTATTTATTTATTTATTTATTTTTACGATTTGTTTTTGTACCAGGTTCGCGACTCGGACTGGATACGGGTTTCACTGTCCAGATTTTTTTTTTTTTAAAAAATAAAACTATATTAAACAAATCTAAAGCACAATTCACCCTAACCAAAATATGCAGAAGGATCCCCACCCCGCACTTGAACATATGCTATGTCCCCAAAACATCAATTAAAATTTTAAAACAAGGGTTAGGACAACTCACTGGGACTTTAAGCCTAGCTAGTAGCATGTTCTCTCAATTTTCATCAAGGGTCGTCACCTATTCTTAAGCTCAAACGTGCTCCTTAGCTCCAAATTTTGGATACTCAGACTTCTTCAAAACCTGTAAAAACTTCACAAAAAAAATGACACTAAAATAAAGTAAAATAAAATAAATAAAAAGTTATACTATAAATTGGGTTGCCTCCCAATAAGCGTCTAATTTAACGTCGCTGCACGACACAAGTAAGTTCACCACTTTTCTTTCCACTTTGAACTTATGAATTGCACCCCTAACTTTACATCTTTTTTTCTGCTCCTCTTAAGGGGTGGTGGTATAAAGATAAAATAACCAAGTAATATCTGTCGCATATTGCACTTCTTGGCCCTTATGTGAGTAATATTGGTTTTCTACGTGGACTAGAAAACCTTAGGATGTAGGGGCCTTGTTCCTCATCTATACAATTCTCCATTAGTTCAGATGACTCGGATGATACATAAGCATCTAAAAATAATGTTGAAAAGTGATTTGAATGGGGTCCAATACGTCCCTCTTCAAACTTACACCAATTGCAACATGCTCAGTTTTATACTCTTTCCCAAATGTGGCATCTTCAAGAAAAGTCTAATTGCATTGTATCTCCTTTCGTTTTAGATCCTCAATTTGACTTCTGAGTGCCTTTTCAGTATCACAAAACTCATAATTGAATTGTTGAGCGTCAAATGCAGCAAACTTTGCATTCAATTCATTGCTTAAGTTCTGAGTCTGCAAGAAAAACATATTAACATCTTGAAAGTGTTTTATTTTTCTATCTATATGGCGTGACATCACATATATGATTCTCCTACTGCGCTATTCAGATTCCTCTATTAATTTCCTGCAAGATTTCATACTATCAAAGGAACAAAGATTATTAGCATCATCATAAGAGGGTTTTGGAGTAGGGTAGCAACACACGGTGCAATCAACCCACAACCCCCTACAAAATTCATAGGATAGAGATGGTGCACACAATTCTCCCTCGGGAATATAATTACATTGTTGCCAAAAGTGAGCTCCTTTGCAATAAGGACAAAGTCTTACCACTTGTGAATAATCCTCATTCTTATTCATCCCACGAAAAGTATTAATTAGTAGAAAAAAAATATGTATCAAAATAAATAAACGAACAAAAAAGAAAAAGTATAACCTAGAAGAATAATTAATTTCTAAGTCCCTGGCAGCAGCGCCAAAAACTTGTTGCTTCCAATTGCACGCACAAGTGTACACGGTCGCACAAGTAATATAGTAGCTCTTAAAAGAACCGGATTATCGAACCCAAAGAAATTTTCAATTAATTATTCTTACTAAATTATATTAATTCTAATTATTTATTTAAGGGGAGGATTTCAAAAGATGATTATATTAACTAAACTAAAAATAAAGATAAAATAACTAAAAAGCAATTACTAAGAAAAGATAGATGTTTACAAAATCAATGAATGAATCAATCTAGGATTATAATTTAACTAACAATCATGTTTAGCATCAATTTCATCAACTTATTTGATTATCTAGTTATTGATTCACAAGGTTAAATGTATGATCATGGTCTCCCGACCTCTAATCGCCTATGATAAATAACACCCTAACTACATCGTTGAGCGGGGATGGTTTCTAGGTATATTTCTATCCTAGATACAAATTAACCCTAATTATTAAGAGAAAATCATGCTCCTTATATTCCATGTTCTATCCTCTTATTCCTCTCCCGAGTTCCATTGGAACAATATATTTATTTCAATGGTGATCCACCATCAAAATAGTAATCACAAGAATATATGAACAACTAATATGATAAACAAATCATGCCGAATCAAAATCACTAAACAATCGTATTGTAAGTAAATATAATCCAAGAACGAGAAGTTTAACTCCAGGTAGACATAGAGAAATTACAACGAATCATTCAAATAAAAGATGTAAAATAAAATAAAAGAGAAGAAAAGAAGAAGCCCTAAATCAAAAGTTATTTTCACATTGTATCCTCCTTTCTTAATAATTATTTTGATAGACTATTTATAGATGTAGAAAATCCTGAATAAAATAATTGATTCCAAAACAAATTAGGAACTCAAAACCTAAAAGGAGTTGAATTCCACGTGAACAGTAGCCGACTCCAACACTTCATCGTCTCGCCTTGGATAGTTGCCACGTGGCACATGTTTAATTCCTTCAAAGTTCGCATTGTGCAGCACTTTGCCCATATATAAAAAATATTATTATTATATTAAAGTTAATCCATTGAGTTGTCTATTTGATTTCTTCTTCAATCTTTCATCCTTAATTCTTTTTAGCTCCAAACTTCTTTATTTTTCCATCAATTCAATCCTACAAATAAAATACACTATTAAGCATAATTTATAAAATCCATGCTAAAAAAGGACAAATATAAAAAATAAATGTGAGGCAAATAATGATTAAAAATATGTATTTTGGCCTCACATCACTTCCATCTGAGACTCTTTAGGAGCATGCATGAACTGGCTTAATGTCTGAACTGCAAATGCAATATCTACTCTGGTCATGGTTAAGTATAACAATATCCCCACTAATCTTTGATACTTCCCAATATCTTTTAAGGGCTCATCTGATTTTGTAACTTCTGATCCTAGGACATGTGAATTATATTGGATGGATGTTAACCTCAAACTAGGATCCAAAGGTGTACTGGTTTGGCTCCACTTAAACCCATTTCAGAATTCAACTACAATGCATACTTGCGCTGGCTCATTACATACCATTCCTTGGACTTGGCAAACTCAATACCAAGAAAGAACTTCAGCTCCCCCAAATCTTTCATCTTGAACTTGAGCTTTAAGTCATTTCTAGTATGAGAAATTAAGTCATTGCAACTTCCTGTTATCAACAAGTCATCTACATAAACAAGCACTACTATCAACTCTTTACCTACTCTATTAGTAAAGAGAATAGTCATAATGACTTTGAACAAATCCCAGCTGAATCAATGCCTCAGTCAGTTTAAAATTCCACTGTCATGGTGCTTATTTTAGACCATATAAAGACTTATGAAGCTTGCAGACCTTACCAGACCATTCATGTCTGCAAAAACCAGGAGGAACCACAATGTATATATCTTTAGGAAGATCACCTTGTAAAAAAGCATTGTGTACATCCATTTGAACCACATACCAATGCCTGGCATGAGCAATAACTAACACTGATCTAATAGTTACCATCTTGGCAACATGGGAGAATGTTTCTGAATAATCTATACCTTCTATTTGACTAAACCTCTCACGACCCGAGTCTACACCCTGGACGTAGCCGGGACTCAAAGACCATTGTTGGTCCCCAAGCGAACCCTCATCCTGGCTGACTACAAGCGGAAGACTAACTTAAGCACGCAAAAGCTTAAAACTGAAATAAAATTTAATAAACTCAACTTTGTAAAACATTAACTCAAATGAACAACTTAGAATAAAATTAATATATTCAACTAGCCATAAAATAGGCAACTTAAGTCTTTAAAACATTTAATAAAATAAATAATACAGACTTATCAACTTTACTGACTATCTATGAAGTCTCAACTGATGAAGATGGAAGTCAGGATAAGACCCAAGACATCCTAACTAAACTAAAAAGTAAATGAAATCCTCCGGAAACAAGGAGGCTCACCATAGCTAACTCGAACTCCCGGATGTCTCAATGAATCTCATATTGATGATCCTGAATACCAGTGTCTGTATCATGAAAAGATGCAGGCCAAATGGCTCTGTACGTGGAATGTACGAGCATGTAAGGGGAATTCTAAAACATAAACATAAGCTTGAAACTTGATAAAAAGGAAACATACTTACCTCTTCTCAAACTTACTCAACTCAAGGAATACTCAAGGATATTCAAAACTACTCAAACTTACTCAACTCAGAAGTACTCAAGGATAAGATAATCAACTCAGAGATTAGATACTCAAATCAAAGATATGATATTCGACTCTGGGTACTCAACTCAATATAAAGCAACAATACACATGTAATATATGGAAATCTTTATAAAACAGTAATAACAACTTAGTTTGTTAAAGAAAATGCAATAACAAACTCAACTTTACTTATATAATAATGTAATATAGTTTATGTGGGAGTTTCAATAACCGACAACCACCACTATGAGCCTAAGTAGTGATACTAACGTTTTGCCCACGCTGCCAGAACTGTCCTATACTTTGTCATCATATAGAACGCTTAACTTAGTGGATCTACTAGTTTAACTTATGTGATCATCTAAAAAGCATGGATGAGATAATTACTCAAAACTTAGCTTAAAAGCTCTCTTGGAATCGATGTTCCCTTTCTTGCTCAAAACTCTTTTGGAAATCTCAGTTTCCTCTCATCTTAAATGTGAAAACATTTACTCTTGGGAATACTTAGTTCCCATATATCATTTTAAAGAAAATGAACTCTACTCTTACTCTTTAATCAACTCAAAGCTTAAATCTTAAAGCAAAGTTAAAACGTTTGTAAAAGACTTCTTAAAATATGGTTCATACCGAATTATGGATGTGAACGACTCAATTCATGGTTTCCAATAACCATAGTTAGAACTCAATACTTGGAACTCAAGAACTTCAATGATACTACTAATTTCAATAATGCTCAACTCAAAAGGTTCATGCGAAATTATGAGCATGAACTACTCAATTCAAGGACTCAAAGATACTTCTCATCTCAAGATTGTTCGACTTATAATGTTCATGCGGAATTATGGGCATGAACAACTCAACTCATGGACTTCATAGGTAATAGGTAATGGTCCCATAATTAGGAATGTAATCTCAAATGGGTTAGAAACTCAATACTTAAGACTTAGGACATGAAGATATTACTCCTCTTATAGATACTCAACTTCTAAAGTTCATGCAGAATTTATGGGCATGAACGACTTGACTCGTAGGTCTACATAACATTATGGAACTCTTGTATAAAACTCTTCTCATTCTCATACTTACTTTCTCAAAATTTAACTCAAATCGATTATGGATCTCCAAGGATTCACAATTGAACTCAAAACTTTCTTGAACTTTACTCTTAACTCTCTTTTGAATGTGAATTATGAATTCAAGAGTTATGATTCATGCTAAGAAAGATCTCATGATGACAAATTAGACTCATGAATACATTCTCCTCACTCTCATGCTCACTTACTCGAGTCTTGAAACAAGTTACTAGAAGTTGTAGAAGACTCCACAAAATGACTCAAAGGGACTTTCTTAGAATGTTCGAAAGAATTCTCAAAACGTAACTCTTAACTCTACCTTGAATTTGAATTATAAATTCAAGGTTATGATCATGTGAGGAATGATTTTAGGTGTTTAGAAGTAGCTTAGAGTAGTTAGAATTGAAAAGGAGTGAAGGTACTCTTCGAAAGAACTCAAACGGAGCAACCGATTGCAAACTGGACGGGGCAGGCGACCCTAGGGCTATGGGTGGCACGGAGCGCCAGACCCTAAGATTCAGAGCCTACTTTGGGGACCTTTGTCTGGCGCAACACGCCATTCCCCAACCCAGAAAACGCGACGAATTTCTTTGCTCATTTTCTCACCCTACCTCGCCTAGAATCGAACGGTTTCTTCCCCAATCACTTAGAATCAATTACTTAACATAAGTACACTCTAATATACCCAATACAGCCCTTAAAACACTCACTTTGATATCAAGAAATCATCAAAAACCCAACACAACAAGATTTAGAAAGAACTTCAAGAACACCTACCAAGAACTCATCAAGAACTCAAATCTTTAAACTTCAAGAATGAAATTTGCGCTGGAAATAACATGTTTTCCGTGTGGGTAAACAAACCCAACACTATGGAAGCTTACATACCTCTTAGGGATCAAACCCATGGCGAAAAATCCGCTACAACACGCAAGAATCTCGACGAACGCTTGATCCTCTCCTTTTTTCTCCTCTTTTCTCTTCTTGAACTCTCAACTAAAACCCTAGGCATATTTTAGGATTATAAAACTGAACCTAATAGGATTAGACCCTTAAAACCTTACTAAAGACGAATTAAATTTGATTTGGTAAGGAAAAGACCAAAATACCCCTTACTATTTTCGGCTAACTTTCTTAACTGGACAACCTAACTTCAAAAGGCCATATCTCACTCATCCGACCTCGAAACTTAGCAAACTAGGCGGTGTTGGAAATATAATTCAAAGGTCTTTCCTACAGTATCTTGTAGAACATATAACTCATCATGTGCTAGGAGTTATGATCATTTCAATTTGATCCAAAACTCATAACTTAAGCATAACTTGCAAAATTTCAGATTTTGCTATTTCCAATTTAGTTCTTTTTCGAACTCAAGGTGATACATATAGTGAACTTAACACTTAAGAAATTTTAATTCCTCGATAAAATCGTACTCACAACGAAGGATGGTTCAAGTCTTAGCTCAAAAATTTTCTGGGGTGTTACAAAACCCTTTAGCAACCAACCTTGCTTTGTACCTTTCAACAGCTCCTGAGGCCAGATATTTGACCTTAAACACCCGTTTACACCCAATATGATGTTTTCTTAGAGGCAAGTCAGTAAGGGTTCAAGTGTGGTTAGCCTCTAGAGCAGCTATTTCTGATTTCATAGCTTCAACCCATTGATGGTGAGAAAAAGCTTTAGCAAAGGAAGTAGGCTCCGAAATACTGGAGTGGGAAGATAGAGTTGTACCCTAACTAGAAGACAAGTGATCATAGCAAACATGATTGGACATTGGATATAAGCACCCATACTTGGGTTGAGTGATGTGAAAATCATGCATCCAAATAGGAGGTCTGGTTGTTCTAAAAGATCTTCTCATAGGGAGAGAAGAAGAAGACATAGGATGAGGATTAGAGGAAGAAGTACTGTCAGTCTTAGGTAGAATGATATCATGCAAAGGAACAACTAGAAGAGGATATGTATCACTGACTTCTAAGGGTTGTAGAATTGGAAATAAAGTGGGAACAGATGAACTCATGTCCTGAAAAGGGAAAATGTCTTCCTTAAACACGACATCCGTACTGACTATGAATTCCTTGGTGTGTAGGGTGAGCAACATGCAACCTTTCTGCAAATTTGAATAACTAATGAAGACAATATGAACTGCTCTGGATCGGAAGCAAAATTATCAACCTTTCTAACTTCAGTAGCATAAGCCAGACAACCAAATACTCTTAAATGCTCAAGTGGTGGAGAGTATTTAAACATTAATGCATAATGAGTCTTCCCTTTGAGTATGGAGGATGTAATCCTATTGATGAGATACACACAGGTCAAAACACAGTCCCCCAAAACCTTAAGGGCAGGCTAGCTTGAAATCTCAAGGCTCTGGCCGTATCCAGAATATGTCGATGCTTTCTTTCGATCACTCCATTTTGTTGTAGAGTGTAAATGCAAGAGCTTTGATGAAGCACACCTAGGGCCTGAAGTAAATCAGCCACTTGGGAGTTGAAGAACTCACAACCATTATCTGTCCTTAATACCTTGATAGTTGCAGAAAAGACATTTTTGATCTGAGCAAAAAAATTCCCAAGTGCTAAACTAACCTCAGACTTGGAATTCAATAAGAACAACCAGGTATATCTTGAAAAATCATCCACTAAGGTTAGAAAAAATCTTTTTCCATTATGAGTAGGTACTCTATAAGGACTCCAAACATCAGCCTGAAGAGTATGAAAACAAGTAGTAGTTGTAGTATTACTTTAAGGCAAAGGAAGCCGAGATTGTTTTGCCAATGGACAAATAGTACACAGTTCAGCAGCATTAGGAGCTAAGGCTTTGAAACAATTCAACTTTCTAAGTGTAGAAAAAGATACATGTCCTAGTCTTCTATGCCAAAAAGATAAGCTACTCTTATCAGAGATAATTGGAGTACAATATTTAGAAACAGAAACTGCATTAGTTGTGGAGGTAAGTGGAGCTCCTTGTGACTTCAACTGACAATCAACATGAAGCACATAAAGATCATTCTTAGAAACAGAAACTGCATTAGCTGTGGAGGTAAGTGGAGCTCCTTGTGACTTTAACTGACAATCAACATGAAGCACATAAAGATCATTCTCCAACTTTCCAATCCCCCCCACCTTCCCATTGGAGAGGTCCTGAAACAAGCAGAAATCAAGATAGAAAATAACACAACAATTTAACTCCTTAGTCAACTTTGGCACTGAAAGCAGGTTGTATTTGAACTCAGGAA